CCCCTCATGCCTCTAACTCTAAAATTGTGTAAAGAAGTTCTTGCATAGTGATTATTTAGTTCTTACTTCTATTCGGTCAATTAATAGAAAAGAAGAAGCAGCAAGCACAAGAGTTTATTGCCAGAATAGAAGTAAGAACTAAATAATCACTATGCAAGAACTTCTTTACACAATTTTAGAGTTAGAGGCATGAGGGGTGGGAACTAGTTGTGATTTTTGCCCTGATTTTAACAGAAGAAACAAAGCAGTTTGCCAAATAAGAACTCGCAGTAAAGTAAGTCATAAAATAGTTGATAATGCTTGTGCTTGTGAAGAGTGTAAAGAAAAGTTTGAAAACAATGAACTGCCTAAATGTGAGAAGTGTGGACAATTGAAGACCAGAATGAGTTTTCATTACAATTGTTCTGAAAATAAGGAAAAAGAATTACCAGTTTTACCTCATGAAGAAAGAGTTGCTACTAGATATGAACGACAAATAAATACTTTAAGAGAAGAAAAAGTTGTGGCGGAAGAAATAATTGAGGAGGAAAGAGCCGCCCATGAAGACTTTATGAAAGTCTCCGAAGAATGAAACAAAAGACAAAAACAGGAATTGTTAGATCGAATTAAAGAGTTAGAAGTTGAAGTTGCCAGACTAAAAAAGCAAACCTCCCAAGAACTAGAAAAAGAAATCAACGAATTAAAATCACAATTGGCTCAATTGCAACAGCAGAATAATCAATTAGTTGCTCAAATTGAAACTCCTCCTAAGGACAAAGGCATCAAAAATCTATTCAAATTTAATTGAAAGTAAGGTGTTTGAAAAGTATAAAAAGAATGTTTGCATCTTATAAATCAAAAATATAGAAATACTTATGAACCACAACACTATTACAAAAAAAGAAAATCAAATTAAACCTGCTAAATATGAAGCATTAAGTGTAGCTAAACTTTTGTTTTTACAAGACTCTGATAGGAAATATTTTACTGATGAGAAAAAAAAGAATGATATTACTCCTGTGATTACTACGCTAGGTAAATTTCGTCTCAATCAAATTCTTTACTGACTTCAAATACTCTATCTTCATAAATATAATAGATTTCTGTTTAGCGATGATCTATACGCCTGAGAAAGTGGAATAATAGTTTATAAAGTTCACACTCATTTTTGGTTGCTATACAAAGAAATAAATATAGATAAAATTGAGGATATTAAGGATGCAGAAACAAAAGAATTTATTATTGAACATTTTAATTACTTAAAAACTATCCCTGATCAAACTTTATGAGAACTTTCTCATAAGGATCCTGCTTGATCAAACACCTGAACTGAAAGTTCGCAACCTAATGTTGATATTACTAGGGAGAAAAATAAAAATTTTTATCGAGATTATTGCTATCCTTGACTACAAGAAACTAGAACATAAATAAATGGAACATATAGGGTTTGGTTGAATTGTTCGTTTAGAAATCATTCATCACTTTAAAAAAGAGCGTTATTATTTAGTTTACCGAAAGACTGACCGTGATTACATTCTGCTTAATATCACTGCAGGCACAAGGCAAATGGCATTGACCCAAGATATCAGCATAAGTTAGGCATAACGCTTGAACCCACAAAAATTTCAATTGTTAATCTGAATACATTGGTCCTTATTGAAAACGATCTTTTTTCAAAACTGTTTATCAAACTAGTAGAGCAAGGAGAACCAAAGGTTCCTAACGAAGAATTTGAAGAAATAAGTATGAAACTTAAGAACTGTTTTTCTAATGAGGAATTTAGCGGCAATCTATACAGATGCAGGGTATTGCCTGACCACGACAAAAAAACACTAATGATTATTATGGATGCTTCTGTCAAGGTTTAGTTTGGCAATAATGCGAACCAATTACTGAGGGGGATTTACAAAGACAATAACTTTTAGAGTTGGCAGAATTGATAATTGCGGTAAAATAAACATATGGTAAATCCCCCAACTAACCCAGAAAACTTACTTCCTCGGTTCACTTGATGCTCTTTTTGTGATTGTATTAGAGATTGATGAAAAGAAAGACAAAAGGGGGATAAAGGTAAAAATAGAGAAGAAGTGAAGAATGTGGTAAATGCCCAAGAATGGTTAGAGGAAAATTATCCTGATAAGGAAAAATATATTCCATCCATATATATAAACCAACAATTAGAAGGAGTTTTAGATTGTAGTGGGTATGAAAATTTGGAAAAAATATTCATTTTTACCTCAGTAGATAGGAGTAAGTTTGAGATAAAAGGAGGTTCTTATTGAGAGGGAGAAAAGGAAACCCAAATAATCCCCTGTATTCCTGCCCAAGAATATATAAACAAGTGATATCCCAAAAATGAGACTTGTATAAGGGAGAATGAGCAATATGGTGATAAAAACTTTGGTAAAACCAGAGAAGAAATAACAGAGTTGGATATAAGAGAAAAAGCCTTAGAAGGAGAATTGGACCTTTCTGATTTTAAGAATTTAGAGATACTTAAATGTTCTGATAATTACCTCACTCAGATACCTTATCTTCCTAATCCAGAAAAAATGAATTCCTTATGAGAAGTTTACTAAGGCAGAACATATTGCTGAGGGAGGATTTGGCAAGGTTTATAAGGCTGAGTGAGAAGGAGGTTCTATTCTAGAATGGGATAATGAAAAAGGAGAATGAGAGAGAAATAGGTATGAAAATACAGTAGCCTTAAAAACTCTCTCTAACTCCCAAAATCTAAACCAAGAATTCTTACAAGAATTAACTCTTTATAAAATTTTTAGAAGTTCAGTAAGTAATATGGTTCCTTGTTATGGGATTTCTAAGGATGAAAAAGGTAATTATATAATGGTCATGGAGTATATGAATAAGGGAAATTTAAGGGAGTATTTAAAGAAGAATAGGGAATTAGATTTAGAAAGAAAACTTAACTCCCTAAAACAAATCACCCAAGGTCTAAAAGATATCCATCGTAAGAAGTTAGTTCATAGAGACTTCCATAGTGGGAATATTATCGTGGATGTTGATGAGTATGGAGAAAAATATAGTTGTAGTATCACCGACCTAGGATTATCTAAACCAGCAGATGAAAAAGATGATAATCAAGTTTACGGAGTAATGCCTTATGTTGCCCCCGAAGTATTACAAAGGCAACCTTACACTCAAAAAGCAGATATCTATTCCCTAGGTATGATTATGTATGAAATGATAACTTGTTTACCCCCTTATGCTGAACAAGCCCATGATACTAAATTAGCCTTAAAAATAATTCGTGGTAAAAGACCTGAATTTCCTACTCAGATTAAATATCCCCAATTGCTAATAGATTTAATTAAACAATGCTGAGATAATGAACCTAATAATAGACCTACGGCTAGGGAAGTAAGTGGAGTAGTAGGAGAATGGTTTGATAAAGATAGTTGAAGAGGATTAAAAACAGACACCCAATTCTACCACCAATATCAAGAAGCCGAAACCCATAATCAAACTTTACCAAATGAAATTAAATATCCTACTTACCACTCCCTAGAAACTTGACATAGTAAACCAATAAATACTAAACAAATCATTAAATCATTACAAGTAGTTTCTCAGGGAATACCCACAATAGATATCCCTACTGATATAATAGAAATCTCAGAACTAGAAGAACAATTAAAAGAGACTAATTTAGAGGAAAAAGGAGAAACTTCTCTCCAAGCCCAAATAGAAATCCCTCCTAAAAACAACTAAAATTATAATAATCTTATGTTCACTCACCAACAAGCATTAGACAAATTAGAATTAGTAGCTAAAAAGCTTAAAAAACCCCTAATGGTAGATGTGGGAACTCAAACTGAGTTAACCATGGAACACCTAAAAGAGATGGAAAACAACATCCATTCTTTATCTGAACGATTAACTACTACTGATATAGTGGACACAAATAGTTTAGATGGCAAAGATATTTTATTTAGATTAGATGTAATAGAAAGAGGAGTTGCCAGCATGGAAGAGGATAAAATTCATAACCAAACCCAAGGGAATGAAATGAGAATAAAGTTGTTAAACCTAGAATTAGAAAGAAAAAGGTTTGAAAAGATGCTAAATGAAGAAAGGAATAATGTTTTTTTTGAGCCGACTTGTGGCGAGGTCTTTTTTCTCCATTACAAAGGGTTCAATAGACTTTTGGGCTAAAAAGTTCTGTAATTTTTGCCCACCTTGTCGGCGAGGTCTTTTCTGCCTCATAACCATTAATAGAACCCATTTTTCCTTGACAAACAATTGGTTGGAAATCCGCCGACTTCTTCCCCCTTAAAATAAAGGGTTGAAGAGACTTGGAAGTTAAAAATTTGGTCATTTGCCCGCCGAGTGATTTACTACCACCATCTACTATTTTTAGAGCCTCTTGCATGCCTTTGTTTGATAAAACACTGGTTCCATCTTCAAGAACGAAACAAGGTAGCTTAAACCCTGCTTTTATTATATTTCTTTGGTTTTTTTCCCTGTCATGGTATAGACAAGATAAACAACTATTCCGTTGATAAGCACACTAATTATATTGAAAACAATAAGGATTAATAATAAAGTGTCTTTCATAACAATTTAGATTTAAATGGGTTTAGACCAAAACAACAACTGATTAATTTATTTTAGTGATTTGGTTATTTGTCATAAGTTTTTAATCCCTTACAATTCCCTTAACTATCCTACAAGGAAAATGCTTTCTTTCCTTCTCTATTTTTTGCTTTACCATTGCTTTTCATTGCCATTATCTCTTTTTGTAAGTCTTTATTAAAAGCCTTAACAAGTGATAAATCACTTTCTAATTGTTCTACTTTGGCAAATAAAAGAGGACTGATTTCTTTTTCTTTTTTTAATTCTAAACATCGTGGATGATAATTTTTGCCATCTTTGCCAGCAATTATTAAACATGAAGAAAAAGTTTTATCACACAAAGGACAAGTTGGATATTTTTTTTTCTAAACTTTTATTATTTATTCTTACCATATATTTATTGTAGAGAGTTATATAATTATTTTTTACCTTTTAAATAATTTCGGACAAATCTCTTTTTTCGTGCCTGTTTTCTAAACTCTAAATATTTATCATGTCAAATCCTATCGTGTCCTTCATCTTCATGTGGTTCTCCACATTCTTCACACTCTTCTTCAAACTCCGTAGAGTAAGGATTGAAATCAGGATGAAAACGAACTTCTTCGGAAGCATGAGCTAATTCATGGGTGGTGCTATCAATAAAGGTTTCTCGTGGATTAGGATATTTCTTGCTCTTTCGGAAATTTCTTTCGGGTATCAAAATATCTTTAACGGGAGTTTTCCAAAACTCTCCTTCACTTTCTTCAAATCGAGTTCCTCCCAAATCTCTTTCATCTCAATCCTTAACAAAACGAAACTTTATCTTTTGTCCGAACAATAGTTCACCAGCTAATTTTTCGGCTATTTTTCTCTCCTTTTTTCTTTTGGTAAGAGGAACATCTTGAAAATCATTCATAATTAATTTTTTTACTCTTCCTGACTGCTATCATCCGTCTCACTTTCATCATCACTTTCACTCTCCTCACTACTTTCACTTTCACTCACAGAACTTTCAGAACTTTCACTGCTGCTTTCACTTTCCGAACTACTTACTTCCTCCTCCTCGTCAGAACTTTCACTTTCGGTTTCTTCCTCTTCTTCTCCTCCCTCATCACTTTCTTCATTTTCTCCATCGTCTTCTTCTAAATCGGTTAAATCAGGTATTTCCTCCTCTTGGTCGGATTGTTGTTGCTCTTGTAAACTATCAGGGTCAATACCAGGAATGTCAATTTTTTCTGTATCCCTTTTATAAACAGTTCAAGAAATAAGAATATCTGTGCTAGTAAAAGTAAAATTATAAGTGGTTCCTCCTTGTAATTGCCGACTGGTCGGAGTAGCCCCTACTTCTAAACAATAAACAAATTGACAATCTTTTTGGGGAGTAAATTGGGTGGCTAAAAAATTACTTTTGGCTAAATCATCATAAGTGCAACCTCAACATCAACCCGTTTGGGTAGTATTGGGAGCATCATTGTGATAGTGAGAAAAGGAACAACTACACGAACTTTTAAAACTTTCTTGGACTTCTCCATCACTAAAACAAAATCAAGTAGCATGGGCATATTCTCTTTTATCA